TTATATTTGTATTGATAATCTAGATATTTAAAAGATGACCCAAGCATAATTATTGTTCATGTATCTTCAAGAGTTTTAACCAACAAACTCTCTGCTTGTGATATCATTTTGCTGCTACTTTTCTGAAAAGGTAATTTTTATTCAAAAATTTTCATGAAATTTTTGATATTTCAAATAACATGAAAATAAAATATTGAAACACTGAAAACAGGTGATTACATTTCATTTAAAAATACTTAAGGGACTACAAAAAAGATTCGGCTAAACTGAGGACATTCTCAACTTTAATTTTTTATATTGTGACATATGATTTTCCTCTTCTCCTTCCTTCCTCTCTTCTTCCCTCTCCCTCCCTTATCCCTCCCTCCTTTCCTTCCTTAATTTGGGGAACAAACCCATGGGATTGCCCAGTATAAAAGTATTTGGGTTTAAGTTATTGTCTTTTAAGGAAATGCTGAATTTTTTCCTTCATTCAAATTTATTCTTTATTCAAAAAATAATCGTATGAACCAGAACTCATCAAACAATTGATTTGCAGCCTTTTGAATGTTGTACCCAATATAGATATTAAAAACAATTTAATATTCAGAATATAATTATGATTATCTTTACACTACTGTCAAATCCTCACCAACAATAGAATGAATGTCCTTTTAAAATTTTTATTAGATTTATTCAACTTATTTGGGGGAGAACGTTCCTACTACCATGATGCATGCAGGGAGGTCACTGAACAGCTTGGTGAGCTGGGTCACTCAGTCCACCGAGTGAGCCATAGGGATCCAGTTCAGGTCCTCAGGCTTGGCAGCAAGACCTGTAACTTGCTTACTCATTTCAGAAGCCCTACTAGAGTGAATTTCCATAGTCCTTTATTGACTTCATTTTAAAAACTAGTTTTGAATTAGTAGCATTCTATTTAAAGCATAAATAAAACAATACAAAGCAGGTTCCATTTAAATGGTTACAACTTATTTTCTCTTAGTAGAGGAAGAATAGTAACAGAGACTCGAGCACACACACACATCTTCACACACAGACACATGCACACACATACCCACACACATGTACACACACTACACACATGCACACACACCACACACATGCACACACATACTTACAAACATATCCCACACACATGCACATACACTCAAATATACATGTACACACACAAGCACACATATATACACATGATGGATATGTGTGCATGTGTGTGTGTGTGTGTGTCCTGTGAAAGTTAAAGCAAGCATCCTAATTTGAAAGATTTGTCATTTGATCTAGGCAAAGATTCTGACTGGAGAGAACACTGTAAAAGCATTTTAGGCCAAGCTGTCATTGGAAATCCGATGCCCCTCCATCTCTTCACATCTTGAAACCCATATGGCAGGACTAGACATTGGAGACCCCAGGAGGTGATAGGTCCTGAGGTTCTGCCTGTACAGCTGACATTAGTAGCTTTATAAAGATCCCAGTGACTAGCTAGGCCTTTCTTCCATGTGAGGGCAGAGCAAGACATGCCATCTATGAGGAACGGTCCCTTGACACTAAATATACTGCTGCTTTGGTCTTCCCTACATCAGAATTGTGAGAGCAATTCTATTTGTGAGCTCCATTGTCTGTGTCACCAGCCTTCTCAGAAGGAGAGTAACTGATAGAATATTAAATGGTATTTAGGAAAGGGGCTTACAGGCTGTGGTCCCAGCAGTGCAACAGTGGCTGTCTCCAGAAAGAAAGGCCAAGAATCCCACAGTTGATCAGTCCATGAGACTGAATGCCTCAGCAGTCTCAGCAGGGTGCTGGAGTCCCAGGAAATTCCCAGAGAGCTGCTGGTCTTCAGTTTGTGTAATCCTGAAGAATTAGGCTCTAACACCAGTGAAGGAGTGCCTCAGTAGGATACATGAGCTTGCCAGGAAAGATAAGGGCCTAAGGCAAAGGCAAATGCTTCCTCCACTGATGGCCGGTTAAGTGGGCTGCCACTAGACGGTGTGGCCCAGATTTAGGGTGGTTTTGCCAACCTCAAATGATCCAATGAATGAACCCCCTCATAGGCCCACCCAGCTGCTTGGGTTTTAGCTGATTCCAGATGTGGTCAAGCTGACAAAAAAAAAAAAAAAAAGCTGGCATTGTCTAATTGGACTAAGCTACGCAGGTGTGTGCACTATATTCTTAGGTACTGAGCTGCAGCATTCACCTCGGAGGACAGAATTAGCTAAGGAGAATGGTCAGAGTGCTAGCTGGTCATGGGGCCTGACTGCCGCCATCAGGATGTGCCTGTCTGCATGGATGGCTGAATCTTTAGACTGATCTTAGAGGTCACCTGACTTCTCTGGAAATGCCTTCATGTGTTACTCTGACTCCTAGCTGTTGTATTTCATCTATTTATTTTGGAGATTTGAAAATCTTAACTAACTTATATTTGGCTGAAGAATTTCAGGCTTTCTTTGACGTGAATGATCGGTTCCCATGGCTACCATCACTGACCTTGAGCAGTAGATTGAAAGCTTGTATTTATGTATCATTCCTCTGTGCATTGCATGCAATGTGCTAGGTCATTCTCCACCTTACCTCCGCTCTCCTTGGTGGGATAAACGGAACAAATTCTAGCAGTGGGGTACAAATTCTAAAACGTGTAACAAGATGGTCAGGAAAGCACAATTATAATTTTTACATTTATTAACTCTGTGTGTGATAAAGTTCAGAGGGCAACTTGCTGGATGGAGTTGGTTTTCTCTTCCTGCCATATAGGTCTCAGCACTCAAACTGGAGTCATCAGGCAAGCCCCCCTTTAGCAGCTGAGCCGTCTCTGCAGCCCATCTTTCTGTTTCAGCCCTCTTTCTGTTTCAAAGCAGCATGGTACAAAGTGGGTCCAAGAGGACATCGTCAAAGAGGCCAGGGAAGACAGCCGAATTAATGACTGTGTGATAGGACCACTAAGTGAGCACGCGCATGTGGGAAAGTGCTCGTAGCCTACCCAAGATTTCTCTAACACCCAGAGTACCATTGCTTTATTTAGTTCAGGACCACATGTGCTGAGAATATTGAGACACTGAAGTACATTCAGAGGAAACAGCCCAGATGGAAATGGAACTTGAAACTACGTACAGACAAATGGTATGAGGATGCTGGTGATATTTAGATAAAAGAACAGGCTTTGTGGGAAGCAGGGATGGCTGACTTTCTGATTATTTACTTAGTCCTTTGAAGGATTTTAGACTCAGTGGTTGGTCATAACAAAAGGGAATACTTTCTGTGAGTTGTCCTTGAAGGCATGGCCAACTGCCTTCAAGATAACCAAAGAGAGACAACTGTCTTTGTTCTAATCCTAGCCTTGCTACTCTCAAAGCTGCCCACCAACAGAATGAGCTGGCTTGCTCTCAGTGAGCTCCAATTTTGAAGGAACATAGGCAGAGAGAAAATAAGCTATTGATGGAGAAGTTTAGAGAAAACTAATTCTAAATGGAGTTTAATAAGGGCTGTAAGTTATAAATATGACCCGGCCAGGCCCCCCAATAATCAAGACAGAGTCCTACGAATTTTTAAAATCAGCTCTAGCACAAGTACGGGGTGGGAGTTTATACCCGAGTCTATTTTTTTATTTGCTAGACTGTCTACTTCCCAGCTGCATTACCCAAATATTTGCTGTTTGAATTTTGCTTGATTACATCTGCCCTAGAAGTCCCTCTTGGGGGTGAATTTCACTTCATCTCACGCTCCTGGTCCATCCCATGTAATGGAGACCAGCTGCCCTCTCCATCTTCCTCCTCCTTCACTCTCCTTTGTCCTTCTTCACCACCCTTCTTCTTCCTCCTTGTGGTCCCGACCTACAACCCTTCCAGCCCGGCAACTCACACTCTACCTCTCTCCATTCTCTCTGGTAATTGGCCATGGCCATTTTTATTTAACCAATAGTTTTAAATTGGGGAACAAGGTTTACACAACAAAGGCTGGTGTATGTGGGAGTTCGTTCATCTTGGGGTACAGAATTTAACATTTGAATACGTAGGAGCACCAGAGCAATCCCCAACAACTAAAGATTAAATGGAGGGGTGCACTAGGCAAAATATAAAGCTTCATCCAAGTGACCCTGTGAGCCCCTCATTACCAGCAGTGTACCTCACGTCATTACAGAAAGCCACATGCTTCTTAGACTTTTGACTCAACAGCTTGAGCCCTACATGGTTAACAGCATGGCAAATTTAATAAATAGTTTTAGGGATTCTGCTTCACTTGTTTATCCTGCAAACCAACAAGACTCAGCAAACCCCAAAGTGCCTTGTATGCGATACAAACATTTTATGGCTATATTATGAGATACAGAAGCAAAAAGGGCCCTGTGGTGTTCTCCTCTGACTATGTGAGGGAGGGACTGTCTGTGACTTTAAATTGCTTTTTAAAAGTCTGATAATTTATTGTTAGCTGGCTTGAAGGGTGCATGTGTTAGTAGCATTTACTTCTCTCTTGGTACGGAACAGTGGTTATGAGTGTCTTCCACTGATGCATCTCATCATGAGCCTTGCTGTAGTGCACTAGTGCACTCTCATGACTGATCAGGCAATGGCTTTTATGCTCAGACTATAAAAACTGAATCTTCTCACTGGGGAAAGAGTAGATATACATGTAAAATAATCAAAGAACCTACAGTCTATCTCAGATAGAGACTACCCGTATGTGCTATTGACAAATGAGAAATTCAAGCTCAGATAGATGGAATACCTTGCCATGGTCATGTGCCCTATGGGAAATTTGAGCACTTGGCTTTTATATCCCGATCTCCAGCTCAATAGTGCCATTTAAAGCTGTACCCTGGCAATGTCCCACACTTCTCCTTCCCTTTCCCTACCTCACTGCCTTTCCTCCTCCCTGTCCCATCTTTCTCTAGCCATGCATGCCTTTTCTTGTGACTTTATTGACATGTAACCTATAAATGTCCATGTGTAATTCATAGAGCTATCTTCTTTGTCCACACTGTGTTCTGAAGTTGGACTCCCTTTGAATCTTGACAGTGCTGCGTACGACTCTGTCCTCGACAGAAATGTGGCCATTAAGAAGCTCAGCAGACCCTTCCAGAACCAAACTCACGCTAAGAGGGCTTACCGGGAGCTGGTCCTCATGAAGTGTGTGAACCATAAAAACGTGAGTTTCTGTGTGGGAGGTTGTGAGACGAGAGGAAGACAGCAAACACTGCTGCTGGTGGAAGGCTTGCTTTGCCAGCTCTCTCTCTTAAGGTTGTTGGTTTTGTTCATATGCTGCATTTGGTTTTATTGTCCCCATGGTAGCTTCCTGCTTTAAAAATTATCCAAAAGCCATATGGTCTCTAAGAGCTGAATGTGACTGATATGTCCCTGTTATAAAATTAACCTTATTTGGTTATCATGTTCAAAATTCACCCAGGAGCCTCAAACTGAAACCTCCAAACAAATGAAACACCCGAAATGCCTCACAGGACAAAACATTTCCTTATGTTTTGAGTTTATAATAAATGAGGGAAAATTTATGTCACCATATTGTCTCCTGTGTGCTTTAGTTAGAGTCAGGCTGAAGCTTCAGCTGTTGAAGGCCCTTCCCTGCTGTGTGAGCATCTTGCTTTGGGAGGGAGGTGGCTGGTGTACACACATGGGAAACAATCAGAGCACGACCATCCACAGCCTTTGCTCAGTGCACCTGGGTGAAGGTGACCATTGCTTCAGAGGCCAGGCTTCATTAATGTCGGGTAAGGACCTCAGTCCGTGTACCCTGTGTCTTCTTAGTGAGGAAAAAACAAAGAAAATTCTTAAATTTTATGATGACAATTCTTAATAATTTTTACAAAATTATTAGGCACATTCTCTTTTACACAAATATGCAATAAATTAAACTTTTATAGATAAACCTAAAAATAACAGCAATCACATCTTACTTAGTCCTAAAGTATAAACAAACATAGAATATCTGAAATTATCAATATATTTTGTCAGCGAGATCTTATGCGGCACACCATCTACCAGAGAAGTAAACAGCAAACGTATGTTTGGCTGAATTGCATTTGTGATAAAGCGGCAGTGTGTCTCCTTTATTCTGTCACTCCAATGTGACTTCTAGAAAGAAATCTAGATGTGATGGGAAAAACAATTAAGGGTCACGCTGTACAAAAGCAAAGGAGTCTCTCAGTTTGTGGTGCCTTGGCCATGTGACTGGGGAGGGTGATTTGGATGTTAGGAAGGAGGACGAAACAAACCCCTTGCAGAGAAAGCTCATGGATACAGGAGATGAAGCAGCTGGGAAGAACATTTGCAATGTGTGAACTTCTACCTACCTAATCCTCTTTCCAGAGCCTGTGGAGGTCTGGAAAGATTTTGTGGAGAAATTCCCAGATGCTTGCCCAACTTGAGAGAAATGTTCTCCCTGGTGTAGTTTCGATAGGTTTCAACTGTGTTTTCTAAAGGTTCATATGTTGAACAGTTGGTCTCTAGTCCTGTCATGAGAGAGGTGGCCAGTCCTTTCAGAAGAGGGATCTAAGAGGAGTTGCTTAGGATAACGGGAGACATGTATTTAGAAGAGAGGGGCATAGCTCTCGTGGGTGCTCTGGGATTTCAAGAGAAATCTTGTAAAAGTGAGCTCAATCACTTGTTCGACTTCTTGCTTTGAGGTATGATTGTTTCCTCACAGGCATCTCCAGAACCTAGCTAATGCTGGCACTGTGCCCTGGAACTCCCAGGACAGTGACTAAATAACCTTGTCATAAGGTTACTCATCCCTCAGCATTGCCTTAGAGAAGCAGAAAACAGTTGAGACCTTGCTCTGATGTTGACTGATATCCCTGCCTATCCTGGGGTTCATGGGAACAGTTCCTTAAGGAAAACGAAGACTTCCAAATTTCCATGACAACTTACAGACAACATCAAACCCAATATATCTTCCTTTTATGTTTGTGTATGTAAATATATGCATATAAGCTTATTCAAACTGTTTTTTAACAAAGAGAAAGTTCACCTAACACCCATCTGTAATTCTTTATCAATACTCAAAACAAAAGGAAAAGCTAAACAGGGAGTTCTGTCAATCATTTGAAAACCTAAGCAAAACAATGAACTGATCCCATTAAAATTCTTTTTTAAAATTATTTTATTTATTTACATCTCAAATGTTCAGCCCCTCCTGTTGTAGAGTTATTCCCCTCCCCACTCCCCTTCACCTCTGAGAGGGTACCACCCCCACTCCCTGGTATCCCCCATTTCTGGGGCACCAAGTCTCTACAGGATTAGGCACATCCTCTCCCACCGAGAGGCCAGACAAAGCAGCCCTCTACTACAATTGTGCCAGGGGCTGTGGTCCTGTCCCTGTATGCTCTATGGTTGGTAGCCCAGTCTCTGGGAACTCCCAGAAGTTCAAGTCAGTTGACACTGTTGGTCTAATAATAGAAAAATTTAGAAAAAGAAAACCTAATTCCAGGAAGTGATGATTGTTGTGACGGCAGGGGCATGACAAAAGCTGACTCATGGCTGTGCCTCTCCAGACTTTGGAATAAAACAACTGAATCAGATTCCTGCTGGGAAGCGCTACTCAGAAGGGAAGTGTCTGTGATGATCTCTTCTGGAACTGAGCTGTTCATAGGGCACTTGCTTAGTGGGCAAGCACTGGAACGCAACACAGGGGCTTTCCGCTGGGATGTTTGGGGAGGTGGAGAAGAACATGGAAATCTCTTCTGAAGGAGATTGATTAAATTCCCAGCACCTGCATGGTCACTCACAGCCATCTAGTTCCAAGGAATCTGAGGCCTTTGGCTTCTGAGGGCAGAGTACACAAGCATACACTCAAGCAAGAAGTTATAAAATGAATGCCTAGGAAAATGGGAAATAAGAACACAGAAAAAGGAATGGACCACGATGCTAGTCAGGCTCCACTTCCCCACTTGTAGCAGTGTGATGGGCTTGAGATCACAGCTGGTGGATTCTGAAAGAGACGCATGGGCTAGGAGGAGGCCAAGCACTAAGAGAGAGTAGGCATCAGTGAGCCTGGGGAGAACCAACTCTCCAGAGGCAGCTTCAGTGAGACAGCTTATTTAATGCGGAACTCGAGGCTATTTAAACCTGTGAGAGGTGAGTAGTGGCTACGGGGTGAACACACATCATCGGAAGGGGCAGGAGCTGGCGATGCCTCGTTTTCATACGAAGGAATTTCAGATGCTGCTGGATACTACCTTATAAAGAGAAAGGAAGTTTAATCTGCCTACTATGGAGATATCAGATATGAGACCTCCTCCAGTGGGGCAAAAGGCTATGTACATCAGGAAATGCAGGCCCAGGGCAGAGGAGGGAGCAATGCTATTCTTGCTGATCTCAGGAAGAGATTTCTGGGGTTAGGACATACCTCGAGCCCACTCTTGTTATTAGGGTCTGCTTCCCATGGCTCCCCAGCTCCCCAGCCCCATATCATGAGTAACTGATATTGAAAGCAACCTGTAATGTTGCTTGAGACTAATTTAAATGCCACAGATGATGGAAGTTCACCTTATTCGATCCTTAAGCGATGTGTATGTGTGAGAGTGTGCAAGTGTGTGAGGTATGTGTGAGCATATGAGTGTGTGCAACTGTCTTCCCTATGTATAGTCCAATTTTTCCAAAAGAAAAGAAAAGAAAAAAAGAAGACAAAACCCTCTGCAATAAAATGTTACTTTATGAGATGCATTTGATGTGCAGGAGATAGAAGATGATCACGTGACAAATGTACCACGAGTACACACGTCGTTCCACTTGACCTGTTGCTGAGCACTCAGAATAACAGACACTTATAAGTTTAACATAAACACTGGATGTCTTGTGCCTTTTAAAAAAATTTATCCAAACAACAACGAAAAACTTTGTAGAAATGACTCATTTTTCAGTTCTTTACAATTGTACTGCTTTAAGCTTGCTGTGTGTTCGTGTGCCAGTTAAGTACTTTCTCAAACGCCGTCGAGCTTGTCTGTGCTCTGAAGTCACTTACATCTCACATGAAGTTGTTGGTAAAGTAGATTTCTATTCATATCTACATTTTACGTAGACCGTTTCCCTTGTTTATATTTTAATAATTAATGTTAACTGATATTAACAATATTAATGTTTAATAATAAATGATAAACATTGATGTATAACATTTAAATGGGGATTATTTATACATATAATTTATATGGAATTGTGCCAAATGTCATTTTTCAGGTTAATTTACCTTATCACCTAATTCACAAAATCACTCTAAACAACTGAATTTAGCCAACTTTTCAACATGCTTTTTGCAGAATTTTTCATCATTATTGTGCACGGTTCATCCTACCCCACCCCCACCCCAGTACCGAGTGGGTCATTGGTTGAAGCAGTATTTGATTGGCATATAGAAATAAAACAAAGTTTCAACGCCAAAGCAAAGCACGACTTTAGTGTGACTTTTGCATTTAGAGGAACAAGGACACCTTGGGAAGGTTTGTGAGGATTCCCTTGTCTTTCTCTCCCAGTGTCTTTGTCACTCTGTGAATTTACCACCTTGAAGATCATGTGTAGGCACAGAGTCACAAGAAGTAATGCAGTACACAGGTCTTTTCTAGGTTTGTTTTGCCTCAGAATTGATATTATGAGTTCATTAGGAACATGAAGACAGGTTTTATGTGCTTTCTGATCACAGTTTTTTGTTTTCTGAAGCAGTCCAGAGATTTTCCCAATTTCTTCTGTTTCCATCGTGGCTTTATTGAGTGTCTTACAGTAAGAATAAATACATTCATACTTCAAAAATAATTAACTTTCAGTTATCTTTCCTCTCTTTGTCTCTCTCCTGCTCTCTCTTCCAGATTATTAGCTTATTAAATGTTTTTACACCCCAGAAAACACTGGAGGAGTTCCAAGATGTGTAAGTAACAAGTGAACAAAGGTAATGACGGGAGGGTGAGCCCAGCGTTTACCTAGACAGCTCCAGCAGAAACGACAAAAATAAGAAATAGCAATAAAAACCTGGATGAAATTCCCTGCCAAGATCAAAGGGCTCTAAGGGACAGGACTCAGAGCCTGAGGCAGCAGTATGTAGTGAAGATGCTACTGTGTTGGGTGTGACCTTCTGCAAGGCCCTCCTGCCTCCTTCTGCTCCATGTGCTTTTTGTTCCACACTCTTGGTATAGCACGGAAGTAAGAAATCCTTATTGAATATTTGCTCATCAATTTTGTGAGATTCTAGGATGGCTCATTTCATTATATGAAATATTAATAAAAGACAAGCTGCAGTTTTCTTTGTTATTTTGACCTGTTTTTGTGATGCCTTTAATTTTGTACCAAACTAATTTGTTTAGAAAGACAGTGACAAACATAGTAATTCTAGAGCACAGTTTCTCAGTTGGCACAGCTGCAGCCCACTTTTAGAAGTGGTTGTCCTGAGTCCTTTTCTTATTTGTAATCATAATACTTAGGAAAGAGTTAAGAAATGCAAGGGAAAAGTGTGATCAACAGAGGTTAGAAAACAGACTGGTACAAACCACATACTAATGAACAAGGCTGCTTTTTTCATGCTGTACAGTCACCGACGCTGTAAATGATATGGGTGGAAGGTTTCTGTATTTTGACTCTTAACAATCACAGAACTTGGAAGTTCAACAAGCTTAGATGAAGTGCAAGATTCCGGCAGTGACTGAAGGTTATTCTAGAGCAGTGGTTCTCAACTTCCCGAATGCTGTGACCTTTTAATACAGTTCCTCACGTTGTAGTGACCCACTGCCATGAAATTATTTCCTTTGCTACTTTATAACTGTAATTGTGCTACTGTTATGAATCATAATGTAAATCTCTGCATTTTCTGATAGTCTTAGGCGACCCCTGTGAAAGAGCTGTTTGATCCCAGGTTGAGAATGGCTCTATAGACCCTCTGTTCTGCAACTAACATGGTGGATTTACCTTCTAGATACTTAGTGATGGAACTAATGGACGCCAACTTGTGTCAGGTGATTCAGATGGAGTTGGACCATGAGCGGATGTCTTACTTGCTGTACCAGATGCTGTGTGGCATCAAGCATCTCCACTCTGCTGGAATCATCCACAGGGTAGGAGTTCTTCCTCTGGACTTGCAATGTGCTGCTTGCTGAGGACAGACAAAACAGCCTTGGGTTATTTTCTCAAGGAGAGCTGGTCAAACACCAGGCACTTGGACACTTCCTAGCATTACCTCCCAGTTGAGTGATGTGTAGACAGACTTCTGTCTGTGCTTTGGTAGAATTTGAACTTGCATTTTTGCTTACTGAGAGTCAACTTCTGAAGAATGTACTTCCTAGCCCTTTGATATCAGAAGCAGATGAGTAGCTAAAGTAAGTAAGACAGTTCAATTCCACACTTCCTTTCTGGCCACATAAAGGCAGCTGCCCTGATCTGCTCCCCTGTCAGGTCTAGAAATGATGCACACCCTAAACCCTTTATGCTGTCCTAAAGGAAAACCTAAGAGAGGATAACAAATGACATGTTATTGTCCCCAAGACTTCTTCCCAATGTGAGCCTAAGCTGTAAAAAGTAACAGTACAATTCTCTTCTATACTTAAAACACCATATAAGAGCATTTTTAGAAATCTAAAACTAATTGTAAATTTGTCACTGTAATCTAGCGCCTTACCCAGGGCCCTGCAGGCAAGCCATTGTGTTACAAGGCGCCCTGTTGTTAGAAAGAAATTGTGGCTCCTGTAGATAATCACCTCACTTTCTTCCCCTGTTCCTATTGTCAGGACTTAAAACCCAGTAACATTGTAGTCAAGTCTGATTGCACACTGAAAATCCTCGACTTCGGACTGGCCAGGACAGCGGGCACAAGCTTCATGATGACTCCATATGTGGTGACGCGATATTACAGAGCCCCTGAGGTCATCCTGGGCATGGGCTACAAGGAGAACGGTAGGAATGGTTCTGGAACAGCGACATGGTGGGTTCAGGCTTCGGAAAAACAGCTGCCAGGTTTCACAGTCTAAAGTATCAACCGCAAGGGATCAGGTGTGAAGACTGTGAAGGGTGGTTTCTGAGAAGCAGGCGGGGCTACAGGCTCAGGCTAAAGAGTTACAAATAGAGCATGATTATGCAGTCAAATGGCTGCTGATTGGCACACGGGCCTTAGACAGGGAGAATCACTGCTAACTGCCATGTAGCTCAGATAACTTGTTGAAATTGTGAGACAGATGCTTTAATTCAACATTCGGCTTCTCTGTAGTACCTCACATTGATGGCTGTGGTCCTCAGGAAAGACTAGCAAAGAAATTACAGAATCTTGAAACAACATTCTTTACTAACACTAAATGATTAGTCAAGCTAGAGTCTTTCAAACTATTCAGACTATATGCTTCTTGTTCTTATAACAAATGCTCTGTAAGTAATATTTAGTGTAGCAACTATCTAGGAAAACTGAATAAATTCTAGAGACTATATAAAGGAAAAGCCATTACATTTTACTTATGTCTTTCACAAGAAAATCTTTCAACATGAACATGTCGAAAGGCATAGAAAACTATCTGAAATTCAAATTGAATTTTGATTGATTAAAATTAGAAGGCATATAAAGTACTTAGAAAGCCTTGCAATCTATCATTTTGTCTTGAATGCCTATTACAGAGAGCCATGTTGAAAGCCATATTTAATGTACTTAGAATTTATATTAGCTTTAAGTTAGATTTGTATATGTGCCCTGTATTTTTATGTTATATATATTTAATTCCTAGCAATCTATTTTCACACATTTTATTAAAACAGCTACTATTGTGTTTTTGAGTGTAGTTACTACAAAGTACATTTATGAAAATTCCCTCACCACTGAAGTTAAAAGAAATTACTTATGTCCTATCTAGAGGACAGCTTATGCCTTTGTATGCATTATAAAGTTAGCCCCCAGCTGGCCAGGCTCACTTGGATGGTCACGTGCAGAGCTATGTTACCTTTGACTTAGATGTTAATGGAGTCCTCATTCCAACTAAAAACCAAGGAGAGTCAGTTAAAGAAAAGTCAAGAATCGAGGACCATAGTTACTAATAATTTATTGTATATTTAAAGGGGAAGATTTTGAATATCCCAACCCAATGAACGGATAAATGTTTGAGATTTGGGATATGCTAATTTTCCCCGATTGCATTTAGCAAATACCCATCAGTATGATCACCAAGTGTCACAGAAGGTAAGGGAGTTCAGAATGTACAGAACTTGGGGCTCTGTGTGTACCTGGTCTGTGTTCTTAGGCCTTTGTTACACAGCAGAAGGTATTCAATCTCCTTCCCCTTCTTTATTTGAAAGAGCTACAAAACAACAGCAACAACAAAAGAAAAATCAAACCAAAAAAAGCCTTCCTCTCTTAGCCTCTCTGTACACTGAGGAGAGGAGGGTCCCATGCCCTGGGCTGGCTTCCCTCTCAGCTGAAAGTGGTTATCATGCAGAAAAACAGCTTGTTCTTGCCTCAGGCATGCCCCTCCTGTGCACCTCACCCTGCCTTCCACCCCTTGGAGCAATTCCACCTAATGTTTTTGTTTCAAAATCTCCTTGTCTTTAATAAATAAGGCGGGGAAGAGACTGCCGGTTAACGGCTATGATGACAGTTTGGGAAGTAAACACATGTACTTATGTTTTAACACCATTTGATTTTCACTTCTACATGACTCCTTTGTGCACATGCTAAACGACCATTTTTCTCAAAATATCTCAGATTGAAATTAAAGTTGATGTTTATCTTAAAGGATAAGTTCTGAGTGAAAAAACTCACCTGCAAAGCTCACCAACCATCTCCTAGTCTCTTGGATTTGGTTGAATGGGACAGACAGATGTGCTCTTGTTATCTGGGACAGACAGACATGCTCTTGTTTCTCCACTGCACATAAGTGAATACAATAGGAAGTGAACACAGTCACCATACGGGGATGGGTCCAGCAAATGTTTAAAACTGTCTCCAAGACCTTTAGCAGACACCTGCCTGCACATGCTGTTGGTTCAGTGAACTGTTTTCCTGTCCACGATGTCACCAACTCAAGTCAATGAAGACGTAGTTTGGGCATCCACACAGTGCTCTCTTTTACACGCGAGGGAGCTCTCGCCATAGAGCCTGTGCGATAGCACAATGTGGATCTTAACTCACTTTGGGCCACTTCAGGTGGAATGTGAAAATTATTTTCCAGTCACCAGAGTCAGTTAACCTTGCTTTCCTCCTCTGTCTTCATGCCCTCTTTCCTGTTCTAGTGGATATATGGTCTGTGGGATGCATCATGGGAGAAATGGTTCGCCACAAAATCCTCTTTCCTGGAAGGGACTGTATCCTTGTACTGAGGCTGCACCCGTTCTGTTTTCTCTCCTTTTAAACTTGTAACAATTTTACCAGCAGAGTAAAGACAGAAGCAGAAACTTGGGTAAGTAGGTTGCTTATCACAAGGTGAAGGCTTCTATCTATACCCTCTTGACGGCACTCAGACTGGCCACCACAGGACTTCTCATTCATTTTTCAATAGCCCCTTGCTTCTTAAATCTCTCTTTCCTATAAAGCCAAAATAGGAACACTATTTTTCACAAATGATAGAGACCACCAGACTCTAAATGAAAACCAAGTAACCAACCAACCAACCAACCAACCAACAAAAACATAATTAACAAAAGAAGTTACTGTTTGCAAATCATTTCCCATCTTCTTCCTACAGCTATTTATGATCCACAACATTCAAGCCTGTTCCCTACTTTCTCTCCCTCACATGCTAAGCACCAGTCTGTGGATTCACATACAGACAGGTTCAGAGAGGCTCCTGTGGCAAAGCTTCTGTGACATGTGAATGTCCATCCTTAGAAATCATGATTATTATTCTAAGTAACAGAGGGCAGGTGACTTTAAGAAGACTTCCTTCACTTGAGTTTGAGATGATAAGACGGTATATAAATAGGTAATTGTGTATCCAGGGAGATTGCTCAGTGGACGAAGTACTTACTGAACAAGGGGACTTGAATTCAAGTCCCCAGCACCCAACGTGAAAGACAAGTGCAGAAGCTCACATCTGTAAGTTCAGTTTTGGGCAGACCACATGCCAGCCAACCTAGCCAACCAAGGGGCCCCAGCAGTAACGAAAGGCCCTGACTCAAAACTGAAGGTGAAGTGTGATTGAAGGGGGCTCCAGACAATGACATCCGATGTGCCCTGCAGTCACACACTTGAACACGCACACATAAAGATTAGGCATTGCTTTTCCAGCTGCATTTCGTAGAGGTCTATGTATACATGAGAATTACAAAAGCAGACAAATTTCTTTGGTGACCAGAAGCTCACTCTCTAGATACATTTTATTCTTATGAAATGTAGAAAATAAACTTCACAAGGAGAATACACTATGACAAATGCAGAATGTCTTGCAAATGCTAGTGCAAATTACAGTCAGCACCAACTGACAACTTCAATGGCAGTGCAGAATAATTACTAGATATGAGATATGGACTCTGTCAATAAGAATTATAGCAGTTAACTCTATTAGTCGTTAAATTTGAAAAAAAAGTTTTATTAAGAAACTCTTTTACTATGTAAGAAAGATTATAATTTTATTTTGACATAAAAAGGGTTATAGTTCAAAAGAGTATGACTCAATAAAAAGTTAATAGGAAATGGGCGTTTATGCATTCTGCTGGACATTAGTACGACATTTGCTGAGTCCCAGCATTAGCAGTAAGTGCTAATGTCTTCTCGCCCTTCAATAATAAAGACCCGTGAGCCATATGTCCCTTCTCAGCACTTGAAATTATAGATTGAATTATGACAAGTGCTGAATGCATACAGTGCATAGCACTGTCTGTGAGAAACAAAGCATAAAAAGAGCCAGTGATGACCTCATAGTGATTATGTATTAGTGACAATGTTTTCAGTGTATTGGGGTAAAACATATATTGATAAAATTGATCTTACCTGAACCTCACTATTCCTTTCTAATGTTGATATTGATCTATTTGAAATTGTTTGAACAGTTTGATGAGGGACTTTGTCCTTTTTATTGGATAGTGTTCATTGGAGGTTGAACCTGTGGCGTCCTTCTGTCTATAATCCATTTTAGATGGCATACGCCTTTGCCTACAGTTACATTTCACATGTGACTAATTGAAAACTTTGCTTTATATCAAGTTGGTATTTGTAGTTTGAGGACGAGTTACATAACCAGTGTGGCTGTGAACAATGTCATAATCCATATTCATACATCAGTGCACTGATCTTACAAATGAGAATTATTCTTTGTGCTTTTGCCTTTGGGGTAAAATACATTAAAAAACATACAGAGAGGTACCTCTCCATCACTGCAGTGAATGGAGCTGCCATCTTTCTCTACGGCTGACTTGCTGGTAGAGAAAAAAAGGCCAGTATTCTTCATCAGTGTGGGACATGGCTGTCATACGTCACTTGGCCTCACAGACCAAGGCTGTCCTGTGGGCTGTATATCTCTCCACATGCTTCTCAGAGTTCCTCTTCTGTTTTACAGCTGAGACTCAACAGTGATCATAATTAGAATAACCTTTTTTCAATTTAAGTTGACCCTTTAGCAGAACAGCAGCAACCAACCCCTTCCTTGATGATATTATGTTTTTCTGAAAATTATTCATTTGGGGCCTTTCTTTTATTTTCATTTTCTTTTACAAAAATGTTTAGACATAAAATGAAGTTGTACAAAGGTCTGTACATACAGGATATATGTATATACAAATGGACACATAAAATATGTATCTTTGATCTGTGTGATTGTGGAGTTTAATCTCTAAATCAGAGAACGTAGATTATAGGGAAGTTTGTGGCTTTATCAAGAGTGGTCATTACACAGAACACAGGTCTTTGATAGTCAGGCTGACTTCCTTGTGTGACACACACCTACAGGAACAGAGAACGGTGTTCACTTTCTCAGTAACTAATTGAAAATGAAATGGGTTAGAAAGCATACTATCTCTGAGGACATTTTCTTTTGGATTCCAGTTTCTAGTTAAATTTACCTATAATTAACAATATAGTAGCTTTTAAGCTGTAGTGACATAGAAAATAAACCATCCCTCATAAGCAAGAGACAAGCATGCTCTGTGGATTTTGTATGGAATTGTTATCTATAAATACCATGCTTTATGACTAGGGGTTCCTACTGTTGTTAGAGCAAAATCAGGCAGCTGAAGTGACTCATTGAACCTCAGAAAGCAGGCACAAGGATATGCTGACTTCCTCAGAAAAGAACAATGGTGATGTGTTACTGTAATTGAAGTAGCTCTGGGTTTTGCTGGAGGTGATACCAAAGTATTGTATACATTAATTGAGACCCTCCTACTCCGGTATCTGCAGGCTTTCCTGCTTAGAAATATTAAAACATTCACAAATTATTTAATGTTAGTAAAAAATATTAAATTGTTCTAACTGGAAACTTATGTAATAGTCTGTATTCAACATTATTTCTCACCTCTCACAAAACTTTTAATTCTGAGTACAAAGTAAAAATGTAAAAAAAAAAAGACAAATCATAAAAATCATATGGAAAATTCACCAGTGCTGAAGGGTTCTGTTAAATCTGTCTTTATATTTTAAGAAACACTGTAGATTTTTCTGGGTGTTTGATGGCCCTGGTGACCTTACAGGGTCATTTACTAAATCAGAACATTAGCAAAATAAATAAATTTTAAACATAAAATACATATAGTGCCAGGGAGATAATGACCCAGTGTCAGATGGCCTAGTGTCAGGGAGATGGCCCAGGGTCAGGGAGATGGTCCAGTGCCAGGGAGATGATGACTCAGTGTCAGGGAGGTGGCCTAGGGTCAGGGAGATGGCCCAGGGTCAGGGAGATGGTCCAGGGTCAAGAAGATGGTCCCGTTGGTAAAGTATTGCCTTGCAGGCACAGGGATATGTGCTCAATTGTGAGAATACACTTAAAAAGAGCAGACATTGCAGAACACTCCTGGAGTATGGTTACAGGTAGGCAGGAAGATCCCCGGGGAAAAGCCAGCCAGACTGGCTTAGTTGCAAACTCCAGCTAGTGAGAGACCTTGTCTCCAAAGATGGCAGGTCTAGCCTGAGGAATAGTACCTGAAGTTGTTCTTTCCCTCCATGTACAGACACAGGCACATGCGGCTGTCCACCCATGTACACATGAACATGTATGCAGGATGTGTACATAAATAAAGGCATTTGCTTTCCTTCTGGGAATTTGCTGAATATTTGAGTATTCAAATGTTTCTATCTCATTTATCTGTAGTGTGTGTCCCCTCACTCAATCTTTACAATAGTTTATGATGAAACACATCCCATCACATGCATGGCATTTACGGAGTATAGAGAAGAGGGCTCTCTGCCTTCCATAGTCAGTTTAGAGAAG